ACTACATCTGTGATAGGCGTTGTTATCCATTTCTGGGTACCATTCAAGTCATTGGCTGTCAATCAGTTAAGCCATCAATGCGACACAATTTTGAGATCGCTCCCAATTCGGAGCTAACACTGAAGTGTAGAGCTTTAAAGGAAAAGTGAGAATCCTATGTGTTATTTACGCATAGCAAATTTTTCACAAGAAGGAGGAGCGCCCGGCGAAGCCAGGCGACACCACAAGAAGGAGGGAAGCCCGGCGTTAGCCGGGCGGCCCGACTGGTTCTACAATAAATGATTAACCAACCAAACCAAATATAGCCCATTCAACAATAGCGATTTTTTCCCATGCAAAGAATTTTGAATTCCTTCAAAGCAAGTCACCTTCCCATCACTTCAACATACTTCTACTTATGGATTGCTTGTCTCAAAGTTTGTAACAAAACAGCTTAGATACCTCGCCGACAGATACCTCCGATACATAGATACCTACTTCGTACGACTCGTATATTTTGTGTAAGATCTAAATCTCCTAGAGCGATAAAGTTCTTCAGAAATCCTTCGTTTTTCTGGTCATTCCTTAGCTACTCTACCCACAAGATCATTTGTCTCAACTGTATGGGAATCTGGTTAATAAAAGAGAATTTACAAGCCACGAAGATCGAGCATATAAGTTCATGGAACTAACAGACTTCTACCATTCGAATACAGCTGTCGTACGTCGTGTTATATGCACATTCAACTACGCATGTAGAAAAAAAAAACCATAAAAATAGACACCTCTCAAGGGATCCGTGACATCACGTTGTACCCAGGACAAAGGAAGATCCGTATTTGTTGACAGTTCTCCGAACTGAGACGCCGTACTAGTCGATGGGAAAGTATCGGGATCATAATTGCTAGAGTCTGAAATAGTGAATTCGGCTGCATCGTTGCAGCACTCGATAAACTATTACTTACTTGTTCGTATAGATTTCGTATCAGAGAAATCTGTTTTTGCGACAGTTGCTTCATTATAGTATGAGCTATAAGCTTGAACTGGAGACATGGGCAGAATGGCCTTGTCGATGTATCCGGTTCCTGATAAAATGGTCAGACTGATCAAGTCCTCCTACATAGGAATTCACAGTTCTAACATAATCCAGGGAGCAACCTTGGCGCTTGAGATTACTCGATGAGCAAAAAACATTCATTATTCATTAGTATTCTTTGTTAAACATCTTAACTCACACATTTACAGTTACTGCAAGTCATTGACGAGGGTAAAACGTGAGACTTGGAATAAATCACTTGATAACCTGAGCTGACCTCAAACATTGTACGACGAAAGATCACATTGATATCAAAAGATTTCACTCACGAAATATTCGAGCAACAATCATAAGAATGTTTCGTTAGCTGTAATAACAAATGCAATAACTTAAGAGAACGTGATGATGTATAGATGCTGCGAAAGCGGACTCAGTGGCATTCAAAGTTTTAAAGTACAGAATTAAACGGGAACACATGCACAAATCTCAAACGTAGTAGAACTTTCGTAAACAACGTTTACAAATGGGAGCGATTTTTGAACATTTTAATCATTCGTGCGACTAAAAAACAAACATACAAAAGCACTCTAAGTCGAGCTGTTGACGATCAACTGACCAGCGTTCCATAGGCAGAAATTTGAAGCAGCTGTCCTTCTATATCACCCAACTTGGAATGACGTAGGAAGACTTGCAAAGCTGCGAATTACGGAGTTAAATCCGAATGTGAATTACCTTTCATTCGCCTGGAGAGACTCACACTTTCGGACTCGACTCAGAAATCAACAAAAATTTTCTCCTTCTGCGCTGCAATATTTTCAAATGTTGTTTACGAGTGTTCTACGCCTACAAAGAACCTAATACTAGAAATGAACCGGACGTCGCGGTCGACGAATTCTCCCACGAGAACTGATATTTGGTACATCAGGTGCAGAATCCTCGTCGCTTTCAACATAATTGATGGCAGCTACATTTCGACGAGTGTTACGGCCTCTCCGAGAGCGAGGGGCTTCATGATCGCTGTCGCTCTCAATTCTGCGGCGCTTACTAGGATTTGAAGACCTCGTAGAGTAGTGACCATTGGAGCGACGTTCAGACAGAGACGCTGTTTCAGATTCTGCGCAAAAAAACAGCATCACTATACTTTTAAACGGGAAGAGGAAATAAAATAAATGTCATAACATGTCGCTGGGTAAGAAAATGCCCACCTCCCATTGGTTGACGAGCTTTCCTTTTTGGCCTAACTCGCGGCCTGGGTTGTGGCTCCTCTTCTTCATACTCAGATAGGTCGTCATTCTGAAAAGGATGAGTTACTGAAATTATTTTTAAATTATTGAAGGTTCACGAATAGCTGGAAGTTGTTGAAGAAGTGCCAACGAACTGAAAACTGGGAAGAGTGAATTACAGATGGAAAGGATTTGGGCCCTAGAATATACTTCTCCAAGTTTTTCAGGCCCTTCCCAGCTTAAATAGAATCATAGTTTCTAAGTAACAAATGAAAACAAGTACTAAAAAACAAGAATAACTGTCAAACTCTTTCGATAACTCCTACATTAGGATTTAGCAACTTCGGACAAATGGTGACTGATTAAAAGACATAACTTCGCTAATTAAATATTATAATTACATCACATCTTAATGATGTTCAAAAACAAGTTAGATGCGCAATAGTAAGGCTATGTAATTATATAATATGGAGTAACCCATTGACATATCCAGAAGTGTCTAAACAACAGCGTAAAAAGTAAAGAAGACTCAGTACATTGCGTCCTAGTAATCGGCGATAATAAAATAACATATCAATCTCATTATGATACGCAATAAAAAAAACAGGACACGACCTGTGGGCTATCATCCTCCTCCTCCTCATGCTCTTCCTTATCATCAACAGGTTCTTCATCACTACGAACAACAGATGATCGCGCAGATGACATTGATGGAGCGTTTCTAGGCGGTGAGCCAGCGGAGTCGCTAGATAACTGAGAAAACGGAAATCAGGTGGAGATCTGACAAATGGAGAACTTAAATCCCTTACCAATTGCCTTCTCCGCGTAGCTACTCTCCTACTTCGGAATGCCTCTCGACTCGACGTCGAAGGCGCGCTATCATCACTGATTCCAGAGGTATCGTGAGCGTGGACAAGGGAAATTGCACTGGCTACATCTGAAACCACTTCATTTGTCAGAGTGAAAGAAGCGGTAAAAACTTTGTTCTTATTATGACGGACTTCTGCGAGGTCGAGATGACTGCGAAGGCACTAGCGGCGATGACACAGAGTTTGCTGACACAGGGCTACGTCGGCTAGCGCTCCGCCGGCTCACAGGCTCACTAGTGAAACGTCCATTGGCGAGATCTCGATAGAAACCAGGAGAATTTCCTAATAGGCGGCCCGATTGAGAAGTAGACGGCTGCTGTGGATCGAAACTGGAGGTAACACCGCGATCGTGGCTAAAACGAGAGATAACGATGCATTATATCCCAGAGAAAATTAAGCTTCGGAAGGCTATTGGAAATGGAATTTTCGCTAACCTTCTTGTGTTGTATTTCGACTGAATTCGCTCTTTTCGGCTTCTTCGCCTCAGGCTTCTTCCGCCCGGATCGATCAAACTTTTCCAAATCCGTTCGAACTGACTCAAGACTCCACGCATTCGTTCAGCGAAAAGGCTCCCCAATGCAAGGCTGTCTCGATATATCTATAAATGTACCAACTAAGCCATGAAATGATACGCTAACTGTGTGTTACGATCTTTAAGGGGAAAGTTGAAGCGATTAATGGAAATACATTCAATAAAAATATTATATAGTTACCAGTAATTATGTTGTAATGGTAATTATAATACTTTTGATACCAAAGCCCAAGAATCTATAACTGACTGGTGAGCGCTTGTCGTCTAAATTAGTCTTGCACGCATGAACCATTTTCTCGACGTCGTGCAGCAGCGTGGCTGGTTGGTCGATGTCACCGCGTTCAAGTGATTCCAGCAAGGATGTGAGATCGCATGTTTGATGTAACGCTGCGGCCAGATCCTGAAACATAAAAACCTCGAATACTGATAGATTAGGGAGTCTTGGAGACGTGATTGGTCTTTAGTACTATGAAGAAAGTAACGAAGCTTGCGTTTCAACAAATGAAGGATCCAAACAATGACATCATTTCCCGAACGCCTAATCCAATGGGTTACCCTCGCGTCTTTATTTCAAACACTTGCTCATTTCAACAAAAAACGAAGCATGCAAGACTTTTGAAACGAGTACATTTTTTTTGCCAGCTGGGGGAACTGAGGTATTATGAAAGCAGAAAACTGCAATAAAAATCCGGCTTCTTTACAAAAACACCTCCAGAACGATTATAAGGACTGACCTCATTTGTAGCTGCGTCCGCTTTCAAGAAATGCGTTGCACATGGGTCTGCCATCACTGATTGCATTATTGCCCGACAATCTGTCTTCCAACCAGGTTCAGGTGGTGTGTCTACAGGGTTCACTTCAGCCAGATGTTTCAACAATTCATCATCAAAAGCTGTAACAGGATTGATAAGCGTTTGCAAATAAATAGAACAGCATTCTCAACCTCCTTACCTAATTTGGGAAGTTGCCTCTTGCAGTACTCCACAATCTGATCTGATGGGAGGTCAAAGAGACTGTCGTATAAATTGACTACATCGTCGATTAAAGGATCTCTAGAATGAACAAGTCAGATAGTCAGAGTCGAATCATGGGAATCGATTTCGTGTATACTTGACGAGTATGTAATGTGCACGCTCAATCCCCGAACCGCGGAGTAGAGTGGATGTACTTGTACTATTAATTATAATAAATTTTAGATATGAAATAGAACGAATTGAGGGTTGCTATCGCAAATGCAGTAGTTTATGAAGATAAATCGTATTTGGTTACAGGAAATGATCAATTTTCATGAAATGAAGTTTCATATTACAAAAACAAACACGACTGTTCATGAGAAACAAAAATGAGCATTAATACACTGTCAACACTTACCGCGAAAATCGAATCAGCGCCTCGACAACAATACGTGAATTGCGCACAATCGCGCTGCTAGGTTCGTTGAACTGTTCTGCGGCAACTGCGATACAGCGAATGTCCTGATGAAGGGATTTGAGCCGTCTGAATGAAATTTCATGACTTTTCAATCGACAGAAAAAGCTCAATCACATGCTAGATTACCTGTAAAAGCCACTTCGAATTCGATTCGCTATTGTATCCAAGTCAATGGGATAATCGATGTTAGCAGCGTAGTGTGGGAATGCTTCTAGACTGACTGGATAGGCAAACGGTTCCACAGTGTCACGAACACTCAACTTTACAATAGCATCAGCCATCCGCGCACAGCAAAGCTAAAGAAATGGGCTTGTGAAGTACCAGTATAGAACAGAAATTGCTCAGCGTAAGAATGAGAACTGCTGTCGGGGCCGGGAAAACTTCAAAAAAATCAGGAAATAGTTTGAAGTAGTGGCTAGTTTTCCACGCTTTTAGATTACTGAAACGAAAAAAGTCGAAACTGATAAATTCGTCTATAATTGTTTTGGCACAATGATCTCCATCAGAGCCGATGGAGCTCTCATAAGAAATTTATGCCATGAGAATATCGCAAAGACTCATTCTCACTAGGTAACAACGCAATATTATCAAAAATTTCACCCCATACCCAGGCCTCAAAAGTCCCGCTCAGCTCTCAACTTTATCAATCGAGTTCTTATAGCAAAAAGTAGAAGCGAACAAGGCTACCTCTTTTGCTTCCGCAGCTCCACGAAAATCCGTCTCCGGCCAGTCATCATCGGGTTCGAAAAAAGCAAAAGCCAAATGGTCCGCTTCAGTAGCTTCGTCACCTTGAAGAAAAAAGGAGCCAAGTAACGCAGAAGGACGCGCATGGTCTAGCTTTTACTGCCCTTTGCTCACCTGACTTTCTCGATCCCGAACGAGGCTGGCAATCCCATGGGCTCATTAGGTCTTCTTCGCCAGAGTCCCAGATGATGCGGAGACAAAACCACAACGAGCTGAAATTCCAACAATCTGCGGGCAGTTCCCAGCATTTTGCCCATGCACAGGTGATGATGATCCACGTCGTAGACGAAGAGAAATACTTCTCATTTTCAATTGTCCTTAGTTTGAACCCCATATAATTTCAAACTAACGTAAAGCTGCTAACAAAACTAAGTTCCTCTCATGCAAAAACAACGCATAACCTTGGAAATTCCTCGGATTTCGGTTCTTTACGATCCACTGTTCCAGTCCACCATTGTCCATCGAGTATCGCCTCAATCCGATCACCTTCCTGTACATTCTGCGCGATGGACAAATCGTAATGCTGCTTCAAGATGATGAAATCTGGTACGTTGGCAAGATCATGAAACCTGAAATAAGGAACTTTTACGCCACATTTGATTACGATGAGAAAAGCACAACGTACTTGACACTCCACGAAACGCCCGTACGTTGGCCTTCGCGATCTGTCTGGGAAAGACGCACTACTGTAAGGCGATATGGCTTGCGCACATACCTCACTTCGTCGATAACACAGAACTCTTCCGCGCCCAGGGATGGTCTGAATTGTGAAAGGCTTGAGTAGCATGAATTGTGCCCTTGATACATCAACAGACTTTGGTCTCATCTTGGAGCTGATTGGATATAAATTGGTCGCTTCAACCCTTTCCAGATACATCTCGTGACCTTGTCGAAAATACACGACATGATCGCCAAGTTGAGCAACAAATGGGAAACGACGAGGCTCGGTCATTCGCATCCAGTCAGGGAAAGAATCAAGAAAGCTCTCTGAAATAAAAATTGAGTAGAACTCGGTCCTCCATTCTATTGGCATCTTTCATAGTCCACGACCGGTCGCGCGACCAGTCGCGCGACCGATCGCGCGACCGGTCGTGGACTATGAAAGATGCCATTATACTAGGTTGGGAGATAAGTCTTGCAACACTTTGGACAAGATTTTGAATTTAATATTTCTTTACTTATTGAACGAAACCTTCAATTCATAAAATAATCACCACTGTTATCTACGACAGTGCCTATCTTTCAGGCAGCTTCTTGATCCCTCTCTTCCAGAATTCCGATGGCTACGACGAAAAAAATTTTTTGACGCATTTCGTTGGCCACATGCGGGTGTGCGTTATCGTGGAGTAAGAAGACATTGAGTCTTTTCGGGCGTAGCTCTCGCATCACATCGGCCACTTTTTCCACCTGGTTAGCATAGACTGTGGCCGTCACTGTAGTGCCACTGCCTAGCAGCTCCCAGTGGATCATCCCACCGCAGTTCCACCACCAACATAATAAATGGAGGTCTGCTTCACGCTCCGTAGGTGGCTTTTCTCCTCGCGCAACCCAGTGACGCTCACGTGCATGGTGCACGTAAAGCACCCAGTTCTCATCTGCGGTCACTATGTCTCGCAAGTCCTTTCGATGAAGACGAAGCAGAAGAGACTCAGCCACGTACATCCTGTTCGTCTCCTCAGACAGGCGTAGTTCATGCTCAGAAGGTGTAGTACATGAGGAACCTCTTCACGACCCCTTTTATGTTTATTTTCGAAATCCTTCAGTAACACTCTACAGCGATCAGGCGAGAAAACCTTTGAAAAGGGCTTTGGTTTTCCTGGAGGTCCAGTTTTCCTGGAGGTTCAAGTTTTTTTTGTTCAGTTTTGCAGGACTTGTCTTCCAACCTAATAGATCCCCCGACCCTGTCCTTCGCTATGAAAGAGGCTTCTTTATTAAATTCATAACATGGCGGTGATCCCTTGTTTGTAATCAAGCTTTTTTTTCAATGAACCATGTAAGATACTAGTTGCAAGCCGTTCTTGATAGTTCTACGTAAAGTGGAAGATTAGATCTGAGTGCCTATATAGCATAGGATAAAATCAAAGTCGAAAACTACAGATCTCTCGAAACCTTTTTTCTTTCGTTGACGGCTTGGTTTTTTTACAGGAACAGCAGCATCAGAAACTGAAGGAATATCAGTCGCATCAGTTTCGTCTTCTTCAACTTCTGGAGATCGCATTTCTGTAGCCGAAGAATCTTCCGTTTCCTAAAATTTCCGCATTAAAAGCAAGAAATCCTCAATCTAATAGGAACAAGCCTATAGAGGTATGCTTAAGGAATGCGTAATATTTACAGCTATTCTGACTCTTCTCCGGGGTTCTTTTGCACGTGCGTTCTTATGCTTTGCACCATCTCTCCGTTGAGGTCTCTGTACACGACGACCGGAGGATGTAGTGACTTCTGGTGGCGTGATCTCTTCTTCTTCCTCTTCATCTTCCTTGAATATCAACTTCGAAAACTCTCTGTCTTAATTGAAAATGAAGCAAGTCTTAAACCTGTTCTTCGTCCCGATCCTGATTGCGATTCCTTGCTCGGACGGCATAATCGGAGTCGCTTGTATCCGAGTCTGAACTTCCGTCATTTGACGAGCTTTCTGAGTTGCTTAAAAGAAGAGGGAGATGAAAAAAAAAGTGAAAGATAATTGAGATTCAGCTCAAAGAAGGGCAGCTAATTACCTGTAGCTATCGTCCATATCGCTTTGGTAATTCTCCATTTCAGCGGCTGCTCTTCTAGCATCTTGAGCGGCAATAGCTTCTTCGAGAGTTGGAGGACGCCTCCTACGATTGGCACTTCCTTCACGGCCTGCCAATTGAGCAGCAGCCGACCCTGATCCCCGATACCTTGTTGCTGCTTTTCCTAAATAACATTGCATTCCCATAACAAATACATATTACAGTTCAAATATACAGAATTACAATGCATTACAGTGCAACAGCATTGTAAAGCACTGTTAATAATAAATACGAGCTTCAAAAGGGCACTTTTTTCCAAGATTTTTCTAAACTGACACACTATCCACAGCTAGCAACAATTATTCAGCGAGAATCCAACTCTTATCCTCGCAATCCAACTATGAAAAGAGAAAACCTAAAGATAATCAGTACTCACGCTGAGAGCTCGTGAGCGGAATAATGGCGTCAATTGGTTCGGGTTCCGGTGCAGGCTCTTTTAACAACTCTGTTTCGAACTCCTCATTCTCAAGATCAGCGACAGCACTCACCTCCTTTCAAAGAAAAATAGTTAGACAGAGATCGTGATCCGATTAGTTATAAAGGTCAAGGTGAAAGATGAACTTTTATGAAACCGGCCAAATTTGATTTCCACTAATATCTATGAGACGACGTTCTACCAGACATTTCTGGGATCACGATTCAAACAGCTTTCGAAATATGAAGTCCAAATCCTTCGACTGTTTGATACATATAACGTACCTCACACCAAAGATTCCTCTCACTGACGGATAAAGGTGGCACAACCAAGCGAGATATCCAAGCGCTCACAAACGGCTCCGATCCTCCATTTGGATTCTGTTAATGGGATTCTTTGAAAAGCTTCTATCCACATTTTATTTGTAAGTATTATATTAACCTTTTGCAGCAGATCTCTACCCGGTACGGTGTCTTGCCACTCGTCTGCTAACGGGACAAGATCCTGGTCGGTCAGCAGTGGAGGTGGGAGGAGTTGCGGAGCGATACCAGTCGCTTCATCTAGAACCCATCCAGTATCGTCCATAAGCAGCGGCCTGTAGGTTCTTATCACATAGCAATCGAAGAGGAAACCAGAAAATTCAAAAAATGTAAGAGGAACCCTGCTGCAAATGCTCAAGATTCTGCAAGGAGCACCTTGATAGGGAATACTCTGATCAAGAGCCCATCTGCCTGTCTTAATCTTTCTCTTTCTCCCAAACCCAACCTCATATTTTCATGTTTTCCGCAGTAAAGACTAAAATCAAATGTGCAAACGTGCAGTAGTAGGACAAATCGCATTCGTTCTACCCCTCGCATTCATCCCTCCCCTCCTCTTTGTTTTGGGAAAAAAATTACTGCTATAATCCTTCATTTCAATGGCTGTTGCAGTCATCACCTTTTTCATTGGCCAGTTGTTCTAACAACGATAGAGTAAGACGATCTGAGAGGACCTTTTAGAAATTTTTGGCCACTAATTGAACATACCAGAAAATTTGCGTCTCAGAACGTCTTTCTTACAACGCATCGACCCCAAGTCGCATAGAAATTGCTGGACAAACATGTTTGTATTGGAAACATGTAGATATTGAAACTTACGAGTAATCGGTGTTGAAGAACTGCTGCTTCGGCACGGGCCGCGTTGATTTAGAGGCAACACTATAAATTGTAAGGTGTCCAAGAGAATCGACGGCAGCAACTGTGCAGCCATCACGGGATATATCAAGATCGAAAAGAGCAGAGTGCCCGCGATGCTCAACAGTATTTGTAAATTTCTTTACTTTATCTCCAAGGTTGAGATCCCAGAACTGAAAATGAACTGAGTCTGAAGAACTCTGCTTTAAAATCAGCAAACACGTAACATACTTACCACCATCACGCCATCATGTCCACAGCTTAGTATTGCATTTGAAAATGCAGGATGTGCTTTCAATACGAATATATCGTCTGTGTGACCTGGTAGGCATCGCAGGAGTCCTCCCGAACTACTCCAAACACGCACTAAAACGATCAGCTGCCTCAACAATCGCAAAATTCAGGTATACAAACACTTACAAATGTAATCCGAGCCCGCAGTGACTATCATACTATCATCAAGCGACCAGCACAGCATGGTAACCTTAATAAGACACGAGGTTAAAAAAAAGCAAGGCAGTTCAGCTTTCCAACATTTAAACGTAGAAGAAACGTTGATGATACTCACCCTGTATTTGCTTTTAGGCCGCTCACTCGATGCCAGCGCGGCTGGATGCGAATCCGCGGGTTCGAATCTAGGAAATTACCGTTGTTGTAAAAGCATGAAAATAAAGGGATTGCAGTTCGCCTACCCAGGTACAATGAGAGAAGTAGATCGCCACTTTCCACATGAGAACTTCCACACTTTCGCCAAGCCATCACGACTTCCTGAAGCGAATCTGCACCCAGAATGAGCCCACTCAAGGCTGTCCACGCGATCCTGACAAAACACAAGTGCGGTAGAAGTAGAAAATAACAAATCGTTGTGACTATTGGAAGCTGTCAGCAACGACGAAAAGAAATGTTACGGCAACATAAAACCAGAGAAACAGGAACTTACATTGTGTGCACATATGTCTGTGAACTTGGTGACACCTCCATCTGGCCCGCGCGACACTCGGAATAGCCGTAAGTAGCAGTGGGTGTCACCAACGACGACCCATTGCCCGCTAGGGCTATGGCACAAAGAAATAATTCGTGCGCCCACCACTTCTCGTTCATCAAAGACGACAATATCACTGAAAATATAAGCTAAGGGCGAAATAAAGCTGATGAGTTAAGAAATTTCACAAATTCTGCACATAGGAACACAGAAACAGAAAAATCAATAGCATAGTGATATTTGTGCCTGATAAAATCTATAAACAAGGAAGAAAGCGAGAAAATCGGAAGGAAGGTAACTGTACTACGCTTTCAATAAAACTTGAAATTTCACTATAACTACTCTCTCCCTTTCCCTAGGATTAATAAAACCGTTTCGCAAGTAAAGCGTTCAGAGGAACAGCTTCCAGATTCCCAAAAAGATGAGTTTGAGGTACCTAATCAGAGCATGCTATTATGTCTATTACGATATCACCAAAGATGGAGAAAGCAAGCAAATGAATAGACGATTGACATAAATATCGGTAGTCAAAGAATGGAGTACTCAGATATTGGAGCTGCATAAAATAAAAGAAAATCATGGAAGGACTTCGAAGGAACAAATCAAACTGACTATTTATTCGCAGTTCACCCACCTGGAGTCAAATTCCTTTGTATTCTCGTTGAATGGATAAAACACAACTTTGCAATCGAGTGCGCAAGAAACAAGATATCTTTTGTGATGATCAACAAACGGCAAAAACTTTACACGTGCAACGACGGCGGTATGTATGTGGAAAACTTGCAACGTTTCGCCTGTCGCTAAGGACCAAACCCTGAAGCGAATGCGTGGTTAGATGAAGAAGGAATACAAAAGTGCAACAAATAACCAACCGTATTGATTTGTCTACACTTCCAGAGGCGATCATTTGATTGCAATAAGATACACTAACATCAGCGACTTCCGCAGAATGTCCACGATAAGTATAACGTAAAAGACCTTGATGTACATCCCAAACTTTAATGAGGTTATCGTCTGCGCCCTGAAAGACACATGGATGGGATACTATAGAAAGAAGAAATGGGTCACAACACCTCAGGTTAGGTTTTTTACCGTTTCAAACTTGTTTCGAATAAATTTTCACCTCCTATTCATTCCTTATTTTCGGATAAGATAAACAATTATTGCTAAGAAAATATATAATTGCGTCCAAGGAGCAGTGACAGAATGACGGTTTTGAAGGGAATCAGATGCGAGTTTGTCGAATGATAAGTATGTGAACAAGCAAATACTGATTGACTCGTGAAACTTCACAAAACCTGTTAATTTTACTTCTCTGAGGTCGGCTCGTAGAATCTACTTGCATGTTCCAAAGGTGCAAGATATTCATTTGAGAAGAGCAAGTTGTACAAACCGTTAATACGTAATTGCCCGTGCGATCGAAAGTCACACAATACACCATTGAAAGATGTCCTAGAACACGATAGTGCCGGTCCATCTGGTCTAGAGATCCAATACCAGGCAGACGAGCTCTGCTTACACGCGTTCCGAATTCACGACATGTTGAAAGCCTATAAGTAAACGTAAAGAAAGAGTACGGTGGTCACAAACTTTAAAAATGTGAAGGAATATAAACTGACCGGACTGAATTAATAATGTGATTTGGCACTGGTTGGCAAGCTAACATTCGAGATGAGAAATCCTTTCTTGTGGCAGATTCTATAGATGTAGCTTTTTTATTTGAATCAGGCAACAAAGAGAAGAATTACCACTACTTATCGACACTTGAAAAAATCTACCTGGAGTTCTTAAAAGGCAGTTTCTTTTGTTATTGATCAGGCGAATAGGTAAACCACGAACAGATGGGGGCACGGCTGAGTCGGCTAATACAGAAAGGCGTTCGATTAAATGTAGTAGTGATGGAGCAGAAGAAGCGAGGTCGGTTATCTTAAAACAGCAATGTTTACAATTGCTTTTTCTGAGCGAGCGGAAACAATCCCTGATACCGATGGAAAGTCAGCAAAAAGAAAAATTCTCGAGTCAGATAAGACATTTTCTAGGAAAAATTATACAGTTTTCCTATCTCATGCATATGAACACAGGGTCAAACGAGTAATCCAATGAACAACAAAAAANAAAAAATTACAGAAGGATAAACACAAAACATAAAGTGGATTGACTTAACTTTCATAATTCGAACACAGTTCCAATCCTCAATGTCTGGAAGTTTGTCCACAAAGTAGACTAAAAACGCCCCCAAGCAATCTTAGGTTCAGGAAAACGCTGGGTGATGTCCCGCAACTACTTGGTATTATAATATTAGAAGGGACTTGCACGCTGAGAATATCACATCTATTTCTCATAAAAACGTGGTGTTCGCACTTTTATATCCATTGCAATCGTTCAGAAGAAAGATATTCAAGCTCACATCATCAGATAAACGCTTGGCAAAACAGAGACTCTGAATCAACTTGAAAAAGGGCGAGTCTACTTAGCAGTGCCCGACAGGTGGAAATTTTCCCTAACCGCTGTTCTCCCATATCTGACGTGTAGCATACAGGATGGTAAAACTGGTGTAGTTCCTCTATTTTCACACGCGTTACGGTGAATAGCGAAACATCGAAGTGATTTTTTAGCTACGCTTGCTTACACCTTTTGCTAGACCTGCAGCGGAACAAAAGTCGAAACTGTTCAAGTTTTTTGCNACTATTGCTTTCGTCTGAATGGTTCATATTTTCCCTATTGTAGCGAAATTCGAAGCAGTACAAACAATGCCCTACCAACTTACAATTTAATTTGTTGGAAATAAGATTAACTTTAAAAGGGAAAACGCAAAGTACCTGTCAGGGAAGGATCTGTCAGAGAAAATAATCCGTAATAATTAGCAAACCCTTCGCAGACTTATTAATGTGTAAAAGAAAAGTTGCAAAACACTTACTGTTTCTCTATACGTCCTTGAGTGAGTATTTCCATGGTAATCATATCGAAATGGCAAGAGCTGAACAAAGACCGCATAAGACACTTCATTCTAAGCAGCAAAGAGAAAAAATTCGATACCCCATTTTCTTCTATCTCGCGACGGAGAACAGCGGCTGCTTTTTTGCAAGGACTGGAGGACAAATAGCGCTCAATCAGCACTAGTAACTCTGAAATTCAGTTACCACTAGACACAATGGCCTTCACAACTACGACAAAATAATGCCAACAATTCAACCTACCCAGCTTCGTACGTTCATCCGACTCTCGTCTGCTGCAGGGCAGCTCAGTGGGTATTGCCACGCTCATTTCACCATTGACCTGAATTATTACAGACATTGCATTTACTGGAAGGAATCATTGAATCGGGAGTGAGAGGCATCAAAATAATCATCAAAAAATAGTTCGCGTTATCAACGCTTAACTCCAAAATGTAGATACTGAATAAATACGGTTTTATTAAAAATGGTCGTCTAGAGCTAGCAAACGGATAGTACACACCGGTACAATTAACGATTAGACTAAATGGTGTGAAACTAGAGCGAGCACGTCTAGCTACCATCGGAAAGAAAAGCTAAAACAAATAAACATTGAACTAGACGATTGCCAACAGCTCAGCCTAAAATTAAAATTGGTATAAGATAAAGACACGGCGGATTCGACAAACGGAGAAGGCAAGATAGCCCCTACTCAATCATAAAATTGTACAAATTACAGAGGAATTCGCAGAGGGATGGAATCCTCGACAATACGAGTGAAAGAATGCAGTACAAAAAGTTCGACGAATGCCGAAAGAATTCAATAATCTAGATGGTTCCGAATTCTTGAAGACGTTCGACATGGCGGTAGATATCACCAGCACAACAACATTCCGAGCCTAAAAAAATAAAGGTGGGATTTCTTCTCAATTTCAAGGTTCTTATGCAAAAGGCTTTACCAACAGCATTAAAGTATTCGAGTTGTTTTCTAGAACTACAGCAAACCAAGAACCAGGTAATTTACTCATTTGCTACATTTCTACCCGAGCCGAAATCACTGCAGAAAATCGTCCACAGCCTATACACAACTAGGCGAGGCGAGCACGCCTGTCGAATATCTAACCAGGATAACAGCAATTGCTTCGACCATGTTGAAGAACATTTAAGTCGTAGCAATTTGATCCTAAGACCACTCGTTTGCATGAATTTAAGAGAGACTACCTTGATGGTGAGAAGCCAAAAGCCGTGCATAACACAAATTTCTTAATTTAATGGTAGATTCACTGAGAGTGAAGTATTACAATGAATTTTGATTGATAGTCTGAGCTGCGTTGATCGACAAACTTTATAGCCGTTCCAATTGCTCACAAAAGTAGGCATATCACTGTGCTCGATACAAAAAAATTTCGTTCTCATTTCTCTTCCGGAATCGATTGGTTTTGAATTCCGAAACCGTTTTTTTCAGAGGGAACATCAACGAACACAATTCCCTCGCGACATTCAACAGACGAGAAAGAGCAAAAAAGGCAGCCGACATCATCCCAAGGAGTCATAATTTTTTTGGGTTCTTCTTTTTTAAAAACTCTAAGTAAAAGTCGTAAGAGTATCAAAGCGTATAGAGAGCAGCAATGCCTTATTATGTGCGAAGGTACGGTTTTAACAGCGAATATCGTTACAAATCGGACATTCTACATTTGTGAAAGAGTAGCGTTATTAAACTGGAATACCTCATTCTGTTTTAGAAAGTAGCGCCTTCAGCTGGCTGGGGCAGCTTCATGTTCTCTTTTGCACACATCATGTTCTTTCGAATATCTTCCAATACAGACTTGATCATAAAGCTTCCATTCCATGAGCGCAGAGTACTGAGGTTTCTCTTGTCGATCTAAAGTGAAATGATTGAGAGGGAACACGGAAGAACGATCAAAAAAAGTAAATAAGAAGAGCGCAAGTTACCACTCCAGTTGTCTGATTAACACCATTCATGTGGATCTTCGTAGTAAAACGGACGCTAGGAGCTTCTTTCGGATAATTAGGCCCACACTCCACATGCAAGTTGTAAATGCGAGACTCATATGGTGTCTGGAAAAACCACTCACTCACATTACTAAAAAAAATAATTAGGAATGCTGAAAAAATAGATGGCATTGCAATATACCCTGGGTGGTCCTATTATGGTACCCGTCCACCTCGTGAGCGTCATGTCAGTATCATCTTCAAGACCCCATGAGATGTTGCCATCGCCCTTTCCTTTCTGGCCGTCTTCCAATTCTTCGAGAAGACGAAAATTCCTGGGCACGTCGACTGGAATTAGTAAACGTTGAGGCTTGAATCAAACTTATAGCATATAATTCATCGAAAATTAATTTGATTACTCCCTTCAGCATTGAATACTAAATATAAAGTAACGGCTGTAGAAAGTTACATTCACAGCACTTTCAAGCGGAAAAAGAGGAAATAAATAAAAAAGTTCCATGCGAAAGTTTGGAACATACCCATTTTGTCGAAGTTGTGATTCAATGAGTACCCTGAAGAGAAAATAGTTTTTGAGAGCAGAAACAGGGAAAAAGAGAAGCATAGACGACATCCACGAACATATACCAAAAGAAAAACATTCAAACTAATGCGGTAACAACCTCAATCGTGCTTTAGAAGCACTAAATCCCAGGATATTGAATCTCGTGAAATGGGAGGCAATTGATTCACGCGTTTCCCAAATGCCGTCATCTGCGAGCGGCTTTAGGCACGCTACTGTGATTTGACTATGGAGCACAAAAACATTCGTCTAGGTAAGAAATCGAAATGATAAGCGGTTTTTCAGTAAAGGTGATGGGTTCGTATTGTAAGCGCTTTTCTCTTCGACCAAGGAATTCCTGTGAGTAGTCGATTATACGTGCAATGCCTTTTAGCCGTTTCCTTCGTTTACAATTTTCAACTGGAGGTGTTTTCTTTTTTACTGTTGCATTAAAGCTTAAGATTGCCAATATTTCTTGAGGATTGTTCATAAACCTTCTGTTCTTATCATATATTACCCTTTTTTCAATATTTCGACCGCAAACCTTTGTGCTCTCAAAATCCGCTTCTATTCTTACCTTTCATGCGTGATATTAAGGTGCGACAGTCTTACTTTGCAACCAGAAACCGAGAAGAATCGTACGGAGTCGTTAAGTTGTTAATTCTGCAGTCTGGCTATGTTTGCTGCTGTAGTAAAGGAGTTTGGTGGTCCTCATGTGATCAAAGTGCTATCCAATGTTCCCATACCTGCAATAGAATCCGGTGAGCAGGTACGATCATTTCCCACTTAATACACTCATCAAATATGGATGAACTTTGTGCGTAGTTGTTTTTCTTCACCTCCCTTGCCTCATGGTACTTGCCATTCACGGTTCCTTTGCATAGGAGCTCAAATCATACTATGAGGAACAGGAACAGATCTCAGCTTCGATGTTTGCCAAAAAAAAACCCTCAACCTGAATTAGAGACCTATCGAATCTTGTTCCCTGTGAAATTTATTGAATGTATATGTCACATGTTTCAGATTCTTGTTCGTGTTGCGACATCTGGTGTTAATCCTGTAGATACGTATATTCGGAATGGACAGTTCGCTGTTAGCCCAAACTTACCATATACTCCTGGGAAGGATGGTGCCGGTGTTGTGGCAGAGGTTAGTACTTTCGCACCGGAATTTTTCCAATTTGTTATGTCGACACCAGTAGAAAACCTAGTGAATATGTTTTTGAGGGACCATCTTTCTAGCCTGGAGAATATAGTTTTTTCTTGAACCTCGAGGGGGAAGGGACACCGGAGAGGGTGAGATGATTACCTTGTGCAAAAAGCTGATATAGGGTAAGAATCGAATTCAGTTGGCTTACCCACCCGGTGTTCCTTCTCTCCTGAGGCCTGAGTAGAAAACCGTATTGTACTGACTGAGAAACATTCGGAAGCATCATTATGGGCAAGTGAAGTTGGCTACCTGCCCCACCCTGCACTTTAGCGCTCAGTGTTGGAAAAGAGCGGTGCTTGTTGTTCCCTTACCTACATTTTTACTGAAGCATTCTTTCTATCAACATTTTTGGCAAAACGAACAGTGGGTGAATCTTTGCCTCATCTTACTTCTTCAGGTCGGTGCTAACGTCCGCAATGTCAAAGTAGGAGATAGAGTCTACTTTGCATTTTCTGTCACAGGCAGTGCTGCCGAGTATTGCCTCGCAGATAGGGTATTTCCGCTTCCACCAGGTAATCAGGGAATTCTTTTTTATTGAGTTCGAGCTTTCAAATCTGTTTCGATTTGGAAAAAAATCCAGCTATTTAGGTCTTTCTTTCCAAGAAGGTGCCTGTATAGGGATCCCATATTTCACAGCTTATAGAGCCCTTTTTCTCCTGGGAAAAATTCAGGTGAGCATGTCCACATTTACAGAGCTTCTTGTTAACTAGAGGGTTGTGCAGAAAGTTCTGCCGAGGTTGTGTACGATAATCGGATTTCTGCCAAACTCTTCTGGAAAAATCCTTGAATACCATAAAAGGACACTATTCGCTTGCACGGGAATAACATATAAGGAGAGTTCACAATATTGAAATTCTCGACAAAATTTCTCGCGCTTTTGAATGAGGAATCTGCTCTCCATTGATTGGGAGAGATCTGTAGACCGAAAGAGTGTTCGTAGAAGGCGGACTTTCAAGTTCATACCGCAGTGGTAGTCATTAAATAGTACCTATTAGACATAGAATAGTCTACAACAAACAGCATGTACGGTATAATGTTGGTTCCCTACCTAAGTCCGAATTTTGGAAACAGTAGAAAGTAGAAGTAGAAATAGTCGTTCCTTCTTGGCTGGTCTGTAGGACATTTGGTTTCCACTACTATCGTGACATTTACCGCCACATTAAAAACTGACAATTCTTCAACGTGATTTTTGTGACGGTTGAGAAAATCACTTCGGCTATCATTTTTCCTTCCACACTTGCCTGCCAGTTCTCCAATGCGCAGAAGTGTCTACCGCTGTTATACTTACAAACATTCCAATAGAAAAAAGGAAACAACACAGGGATAACCACGCTTCATACTTGTAGCTAAAACAAGGATAGGCTTGTATTAGATATTTTCGTTATGCCCCTTCAATATTGTTTTAGAAAGGACAACGAGTCCTGGTACATGGCGCCTCTGGAGGAGTAGGAATAGCAGCAGTGCAGATGGCTGCCGAATACGGAGCCACCGTGGTTGGCACCGCTAGCACGGCTGAGGGCATGGATTTGGTCAAGCACAATGGCGCTCATGACGTGTTTAATCACAGTTCTAGAGGATATACAAATGAAATAATAAAGAAGTATCCGGAAGGTGAGCTATTTTGGGTGAAAATGTAGTTGGGGGGTGCCAGCGCCCTTCCGTCTAGTTGTCTGCGTCTCTGACCCAGGCGGCAGAGCTGCTAGGGGAGGAGCTCCGGGGTGGGTAAACGTAGTGCAAGGACAAGAGAAAGTTGTGATAAAGTAGAAAAGAGTGGAATGGGTTCAACCTGAGGAGTGTGACTGCGCTAAGTAGATTGCGCACCGTGGACGCACCGCACGCGTCGAGTAAAGTTATTATTGAAGGGCTATTCTGAACCATTTCAAGTTATTGCACAACGTTTACTTTTCACCCACCCCGGAACCCCTCCCCTT